AGATATGTTGGCGTTCCGTGTCTCGCAACGAAATGCATAAATGTGGATGCAACCGTAGATGCCATCTGGTTGGGCATCGGGAGTGTGTGGAATTAATATTAATTGGCAGACCTGCCTTGACCCTGGAATCTGGAACGGGGCAGGTGTCCAGACAGAATTTCTGGAGAAATGGAAATTCCCGTGGTTCTTTATTTTAAATAAAGTTGAGACAATAATATAAAACAAAACAAGTTATCCACAGTACTTGTTATTGGATGGGAGAAGGATCTGACTGAGGAAAACTCTACGGTTCTCTCTCCCTCTCTTACTCGGGCCACACTACCTCACGCAACCAAGGGACAGGGCTAACCTTTACAGCTGGTAGGTTGTCCTGAAGTCAGCTCCGGATATGGTAAGGTCACAATGGTACCTTCCAAATAGCGACTGACTCCAGGATCCAAGTCTCCCGCTAATATCCTCGGTACCTTCCTCAAAAATCCAAGATTCGGATTGGATATGCGACTTGGCTCCCTTTTCAGTGTTGGTCCCGACTTAATTTATTTAAAGTCATCATGATGGTGTGACTTTCTTATTATCTTTATGGGTTTCGTTTTGTGTTTGCTCCAGTCGGTTACAGGGTTGTCCCATCCTCCTGGTGACAACATACCATTATTCTTACTTAGAAATTAATTTTTGATTATATTATGTACGAGGGAAAGTCATTAAATAACAGGAATTTTATTAATAACTTTTTTACAAGAGTACCTGCTTTGCAACACTCTTGGTCCACCTGTCCACAAGCCTGGAAATGCTCAATATAGGGCCATTGACATCCCAAAAGATGGTAAGCATGACTTTCCCAGCGGAAGCCTGTGTCTTGAATTTTTTCTCCGCCGGAGACGACGCGTGCTTCCACTGCATCGATTGCCTCTTACTCTCTGGTTTATAATGGTGCACCCAGGACTCGTCTCCTGTCACAATTCCATGGAGAAAAGCATCTCTTTCGTGAGCATGACGGTCCAAATGCTCCCGACAAATCGTCTGCCGTGCACGCTTGTGATCATCGGACAGCTGCCTTGGGACCCATCTGCTACACACTTTCCTATACCCGAAGTCATCGTGGACAATATTGTACGCAGCGCCGTGACTTGTGTTGAATTCTATGGCAATTTAATCTATAGTGACTCGCCTGTTCTCACGGATTCGCTGCTCGATCTGCTGTTTCACTGTCTCAGTTGCCACACTAACTGGTCTCCCACTCCGGTGTTCATCACTGACGTTTTGTCTTCGTTTTTAAATCTTTCCACCCATTCGTACACTCTCCCCTGACTACAACAACTGTCTCCATACTGAACCTTCATTCTTCTGTAAATTTCAGAAGGTTTCGCACCCTCTGACCACAAGAAGCGAATAACGCCTCGTTGCTCTTCCGCGGTGCAAGTCGACAGCACTGAGGTAGAGAAGGTATCTAGAGGTGGCGCAGCCATAGCCGACCTGCAAGGCTGCGTGGTCCTCCGGACGCCTTATTGCTTTGACCATGGGATGCATGAGGTAGGCGGCTTACAAGAGTGCTTTTGTTTCTCTAGGAAGGCCCACGAGAAACTTGGATTTCCTAGCCTGACTCATTGTTCCTTTGAGGTACCTTTATTCATTGCCGATAACTTTGGTGAATCTCTTTACCCAAGGATATTAGGCCTCCAAGAAACCGGAGTTTGGGATGTTCCCATAATGCAAATGCCGCAATTGTAGCCCTGGGATTTCCTGGTGCTTTACCCGAAGTAATACTGTCCACATGAGCACGGAATTGAGCACGACATCGTGCTCAAATTAAATTTTCCCAATCGAACTGAAATGAAGGAACCATCCATGGAACATGGCATCAATTTTTATTCCAAAGGGTGAACTTCAGAATTTTTGACTGGACTATGAGTCAAATTTCACCGAAGACTTGAGCAGCAAGAAGAATGAATGGCAGAAAACAACAAAAAAAGTTTTAATTCAAATCAGACATGGCCCACAGTCACCCAGGCTCAAGTGTCCCTGCAAATTTCTTTTGATTTTAGCACTTTTTCACATGGCTGCAACACCCTTCCATGGGAATTGACAGACAGGGGTCAGAGTCATCAGAAAAAGTGTAAAACTCGGTGAAATATGAGGTACATAAGCTTGTATTAGCCACTCAAAGGTGGGGGTTTCACGGGATGCCAACCCGCTCAATGTAGCTGTGTTGGGTCACTACTGCCCAAAGAAAAGAATTACCTTGGTTAGTTTCTGGCGCATACTGGTCATCGATCGACTCGGACGTCAGCTATAACTGGCTTAAGAAGGGACTGTTGAATGCCGAGACAGAGAGCAACATCCTAGCCATTCAGGACCAGTGCTCATAACTACGAGAAATACATCGTGAAGCTGGATGTGGAAGACCGCTGCAGATGCTGTCATGGGTTAAGCCGAAACGGTTCACCACCTCCTTAGTGCCTGCTCCGAACTAGCCCCGAGAGAGTATTTGTATAGGCACGACCAGGTGTGCAAATATGTGCACTGGTGTGTCTGCAAGCAAGCTGGCCTGGATGTCCCAGAAAAGTGGTACGAACACCAACCAGAGTCTGTAGTGGAGAACTCCTCTACCAAGGTACTCTGCGACATGCCTATAATTACTGACCGCTCCATAGGCTGTAATAGGCCGGACCTCACGATCTATAAGAAGGAGAAGACCGCCCTCCTTGCAGATGTGAGCATCCCGGCCGATAATAACCTTCAAGAGAAGACTAGGGAGAAGCTGTAGAAATACTCCGAACTGAAAGTGGAAGTGGAACAGTTGTGCGGAATGAAGATCACCATCGTTCCGATCATCATCGGCACAGCTGGCGTCGTCCTGAAAGACCTCAAAGGACATGTCAGGAAGCTGGAGTGCGAAATCTCACTCGATGTCCTCCAGCGTACAGTAATCTTGGGCAAGGCCAGCATCCTTCCCCGTGTCCTTCAAAATTAGGCGAGTATGAGGTCTGGAATGTGGTTCATCCCCCTCGTATCTCCAATACCGGCAGGTGCCGTGAAAGGATATATATAGTCAGTATATTATGCTTGGGCGTCTGTATGTTTGCAAGCGCTTAGTGGCCCTCTCCATGCCATTCCTAACGCTGTAACATGAGACAGAGGCATTCCACGCGCAAACCCCCGCCCCCGCCCCGCCCTCCCCCCTTACTTAGGGGTGTTCACACATCCGACACGGACTTTTCTGCAGGGACGTGTAAACGTCCTGCGTGTTACACTTGGAGTCCCCTTTCATCCTTGGAGGCAGGATGACTTCCTCGCCGGGATGAGATCTCCGACCATTCGTATATAGGGTGGTTAAAGAAAAACGCTTTACCATTTTCTACGGGAGAAACAATTTAATAAATGTAACAAGAAAAGTACCTTGTATATGGAATCGATATTTGACAGTTACAAGGTGTTGAAATGCTTGCCAGCTTTTTTTCAGCACCCCTGCCTAAGTCGTGCTATACCCATTTGAGGCGAATTAATGGTGCTTAGAAGTGGATCATTCCACCTCAAGTGAAGTGATTACCTGTGCTCGACCGTGTCAGAATTCAATGAGTTTTTCAACTTTAACTTTTCAAGGGAAAGTTGGATCCAGCTGATACTTGACAGAGAGGTTCATGAATCTAAGGTTTTTTTTTCCGCTTCCGCATGATGGCACTGTATTCCGATAGAGGGTGCTGCTGTTGACCGGTGACGGAGGGTCACTTTAAAAAAAGGTTTAATGCTCCACCTGTAAACTGTATAACAGGACAATACGTGGCTCAGAGAATTGTCCAGAAAAAAATCTTTCAACACCTCCTATATGCTCAATATCAAAAGTTTATGAATCTCATTTTTTCATTTTTATCGAATACATAAATCGTATTTCCTTCCCCTTGAAAACGGTGGAGCTTTTTTTGATCACTCTCCGTCACCCGTTTCTGAGTTTTAGGGCTGCTGACTGAGCTCGGGAATTCCCCAGAAACAGTTTATGGAAGACTTCCCGCGGGTTGGAGTGCCCGGCTCGCGCTCTCGAGCTCGCATGTTCTCTCCGGCCTCTGCGATTGTTGGATCCGTTCTTGGAAATGGGAGAGAGAGTCATTGTACACCTTGCGCAAACCCCCCAACTAAGGGCTGTTCACAACCTGATATGAACTTTCACGCGGATAAACCCATGTACAACACTTGGAGTCCCGTGTTCCTCCGCGCGGAGAGCAACTCCCGAGTGGGAAAGCGGCTGGATCCCATCTGGGTGGGATAGAACAAAAAGGTTTCTTTGATCGCAAAGATGCCGCCGGTCGTGTCGTAACCATCCCGTTTCAATATCCGTATATTTCACTCATAAACTTGCATGAAAAGTTATAGATAGAGATGGACTTTATGGACGATGCGGACAGGGTTGTGATCGACAGGAAAAAGTGCCGATCAATAAAGTGGTCCGGATTCCGATGAATGCGAGGGCGAAGAACTCACCCCGGCGAAGAAATCATCCTTCCTTCAACGGGACGAAAGGGGACTCCAAGGGTCATACGTGAGAACGTGTGAATATTGGGAAAGAGGGTCTGCTGCCTATAACGATGAGAGGATCACTGAGTTTTTCGGGCCGCGAATGAATCAGAGAGTTTTTGCCAAAGAGTCCGTGGAAGTTTTCCACCGGTCGGCTAGTTATAATGAATAAAGCATCATATTGAAATATTGCAGAAGATATCCTGGAATCTCTTTCATCTCCTTTTAACCATCGCATTTCAAGGTGAAAATTATAAGATGAAGTATCTCACGAGGCATCGTTGTGGAAGGGTTTTTAGCAGAAAGGAAGTATATTCCAACATTAATTCCCAAGGAAAATAGCATTTTCACAACACTCAATGACCTTTCGCTCTTGTGAAGAATCAATGGGAATCATGGTGAGTCATTGGAGTATGTCTTAATTTACAATAATAGATGCTGCAACTCGAGCCTAGTCATCAAGTCTTGCAAAATTATTTTATTCGACAGTCCTTCGCCAGTGCTGCTCCGACGGTTTATGCGTCTCTGCTTGAGGTGAGTCTTGATGCGAAGTCCCTGCTTACATGGAATTTCTCTGCAGAGAAGGCCAGGACCAAACAAACATTTATACCCGAGCTTTTTTTACACTGTACATGGAGTTGCTCGTAACCCAACAGATTTGCAAGATTGGATCTGAAATAGAGTTATACAGGTCGACTCTTGTTGGTATGTAGCTGTTCAACACGGACCTCCCTTTAGTACGTACAAAAGTTTGCGACCAGGCTTTCCCTTCATTACTTTAAATGGTTTTCAATGTTGGTTTGTTCGTATTCTCTTTGTACGCTTTGATGTATACGTGGAGATTTCAGTCGGTGAGTTCGAGAGAATGGGTAATGTAGTTGCACACGCGCCGGATCTGAATGAACTAATATGTAACGAGCTTCTGGCAGGGAAAGCAGTTGCTGCCGTAACCGTAAGGTTTCGCCTTCACGACTTTTGTCGGAGTCGTGTAGGTCGAGGGTTTACTGCACCCGTAAGACCAAACCAGTTCAATAGAAAATGGCTTCCTCTGAGCCCCTTTTATCTGGTGCTTGGACCAAGAAGGCGAGCCCTTTCACTTGATGAAAACATGGCAATCATTACGAGGGTGGAGAACGAGGAAAAACAAGTGGACGTGGCGCGGGACTGGTGAAGAAATTCAATATAATCAAACCGTTGCTTAGTACTTCTTATAGTAAGTAATATATTAGGTGGAATTTTCGATTACTCGCTAACGAGAGTCGACCAGTAGTTTGATCCTCGTGATGAATCCCCAGAGCCCCAGAATCATCAGCACTACTACAACGACCATCAAAGATTCCATGTTGACTGTTATTATCTTAGTGCGGGTGGAAAATATGGACTGAATATGCTATCCAGTCATTTATTTGGAAATAGGGGTCTGGGAAGTCCTATTGTACATAGTGTAAGGTTTCAACTCCCAATTTGGAGGACGTGCCCCATTTCCCCCTGCCGATCGTCACACTGCTTATGACAGTAGTAGTTATTCGGTTATTCCATTATCCATTATTCCAAAGGGTCCAAATTTTTTGGGACGGAGTAAATTGCCAGTAAGTAAACAACCAAGTCGAACAAAGTAGCACCAGAATTGTCTCTACGAGGTCTATCCCTAACTATTATGACATTCAAATTTCAACGAATCGTTAATGAAGTCTTCGCAATACCTGTAGCTCCCGCAAAAATAAATCAGAGCCATATATTGTGGTGGAAGAGGGGGATATGTTTTCCTGAGTTGGGCTTTCCCAGCTTGTGATCTTATGCAATGACCATTTAATTCTGCAATGATGCGTTTCTTTCCATTAGATAATTAACGAATAAACATGGGAGAACTGGAAGACCTGTCTGGACATGTCCTAGGAGGAACCGTTTTCCTGGTGGCTTCTTTATGGCTCCTTTGGAACACCCTCGTGAGATGGCATCGAAGTCGGCTCGACCCTTCCTCGCCTCCGTACCGAACTGGTTTCCGATTCCCGGTGTTTGGAAAGCAAGGGGTGGATTCTGGCGTCCTCTCCTCTTTACTTGCTGTCGGAATCATAGGTCTCTGGATCCCAATGGAATTTTTCAGTAGACAATGGCAACATGAATTGGAAATTTCGGATTTCGCCTCTTAATAGGCTTTTGATTTGAGAGCGATAGTTCTGCAGAGCAAATCAGGAAAAATGGTACTCTTGCAGAGTCAGGGGAGTATGGGGGGGGGGGGGGCTAGGTTGAGAAAAGGGGAAAGCCTTGAAAATGGTTATCACTATACTCCATCATGAAATGGATGAGAACCCCCCCCCCCTGCCTTTAAATTTCCTGGAAGTATTGGGTTCGAAAGAAAGTAATGTCGCTTTTTGCAATAGACTTTTTTTTCGAAAAAACAAAGGCCTGATGATGACATCACTCTAGAATATAGTTTCTCTCATTTCTATCACTCATTCCTATCTTTTCACCAAATTTTGGATGCCACTACTGTAGAATTCGGCAGGTTTTGATTTTAAAAAATTTCTAATTCAGTTTTGACTTCAGCACTTATTGGACGGAAAGAGGTATAGCAACACCGAGGAAGAGATCTCAATAAATGATAATCAGATGGAGCAAGGTCTGGAGAGCATTGTGGATGAGGCAAAAGTTTCCATTGCAATGTCAGAAGTTTTTCCTGCGTCATTCTTGCAAAATGGGGTCGTATGTGTTGTATTGAGTTTTTGGGCAATTTTCAAAGTTGTAATCCTGGGATACGCTTTCACCAAAGCTCGCAGATCTTCAATATTGATCTCAATCGGTCTACCAGAACGAGGCGAATCGGACAGATCAAAGTTCCCGGATCGGAACTTTGAAAACCACCTCTGACACTTCCGGATATTCGATGCATCTTCTCCATATGGTTTTCCTACCTCTTGAACCTTTTTTCAACTCATAGAGCGTGGAATGACGTATATGGATCTCATCTACACTCATTATCTATGCCTAAAGGAGGGCACAACTTGTTGCAGAAAATACAAAATAAGTGAATACAAAAGAGATTGGGTCACTTCTTTCATTAAACATAAAAATGAGACCCATCAACTTGTTTTCAACATGAATTAACACGTTTGTTCAAGACTTAAAAAAAGCATTACTTTCTTTCCAACCCAATACATGGTGGCCCATTTAAGTATACGCGGTACGGGTAATTCCATCGTGACTCATGTTACATATGCACACATTTTTTTCAGACTTTAATTACACACTGCCTTCCGAATTTTCAATTTCAGATAGTCCCTGAAGCATAACGGTTGCAGGCATTGGGCTTTTGTATAATATAATAATACGTTTTTTTTAATTTAAATTATTCTGATAGCGAGAAAATGGGAAAAAGTTTTCGTGACTCATGTTACAATGAAAGGACACGATCCCTAAGAATAGGTATTCCGTAAAGGGACCCTGCTTTATTTTTAATTTGATTGGGACAGTACTTCGCTGTCATTAAGGTAAAAGGTGAGGTATATATATCATAGTATATGAACTCTAAAATCTACCCATTAACTAGGAAATTTCTTCGTGTCGCACGTTACAAAGAATTGACTCTTCTTACAGAGTACTCTAGAAACTAGAATGGGCAGTTTTTCTCACTCATTTTTTTATATTATTCATTATCATAACAATCGCAATGGAAAGAACAGGCATGGACTTATATATTAACTTAAGACTCTATTTGCTTGACTCAGAAAATGTAATGGACATTCCACGTGAAAAGGGACAAAAAGTGTCTACAATTCATAACGAATGGGGAATCCAACAGTTGATGTCGCCACGAAGAGTGTATCCGAAAGTAAATAATTTGTACTTCTTATTATTCTGGCTGCAATGGCATGCAACATCGCCATTTTTTAATTTGAGGCACCCAATTTGGCCATACATTGACTCTTCAGAGATTACACTGTTTCTAATGTTTTTTGAAGATGTTATTAAGCAAGACCTGAAAAACTGGTAGTTCATGACGTATGACGATTCCTATCATAGAAGTCGTCTGATCCTCAAGTACCAATGCAAACGAATCTTCCGCGAAGATAAATGGATTTTCACATGTAACATGAGACACAAAAATTGGCATTTTAATTGACTCTGTCTTTGCTTCCACGGGCAAATGCTGTTGGTTCCTCTTAGCTATATAGGATTCCAATCCATCACAATAGGACCCGGCCAATAAACTGCATCGATGCAATATCCTTTGGCTGTGCAATTTTTGTGAATCACTCCGTTTTGATTTTCTTTCTCAACAGTGATTTGGAGGGTTAGTGAATAAAAAATGCAATAAAGTGCTGCTGAGGGCAGAAATGAAGGGAGAAGAGCTGAAACAAGAAGGGATGAATGATCAATGTATGACGAGAACAATCATTGAAGCAGTTCGGACTTCTCCCTAGACGCTCCAAAATTAGTATAGTAGTGGTAGTATATACAGGGTCGGCAAAATAAAGTAAACTACTGTAAATATTGCAATAAAATCCATATTTTTGTGTACGGATTGACCTCAAAATGTAATGGAACGTTACCTAATATATTCTTCAAGGTTTATTCTTAAATATGTAATGTGTCTGTGACTTCCTATTATTCAGTTAGGGCATGTTTTGTTAAATGGTCACAACTCTGAGTGAACAGGCTTGCCACTGTCGCTGCGAGGCACAAATCAACGTTTTTAAAATTGGAATTCATTGTATATATGCACAACCAATAACTTTACGAATGGTGTAAAACACGCTTTTGGGGACATCATGTAAAGTGTTCACAATGATCACTCGAGAACGGATTTTTCAAGTAAATTTCAAATGTGGATTCTTGCCTAGCAATGACAGTAGCAATCCTTTTAACTCGGCATTTTATTCATTTCATCAGGAACTGCCACAACTCAAGAATGGAAAATAAGAGATGTGAAATTTCAATAAATACTGAAAAACATAACCCTCAACATTTCATTAAATTTTGAAGACTTGCTTAAGGTAGTAGGGGAAGAAAAATCAACCGTCTAGGATTCGAAATCTGAAAAGTAGTTGTTGTAGGGGGTCCCTAGGGAAGTGCAAAGAGGGGTCGCACAGTCACCTCCGACCCATAGTTTGGCCGAAAGTCGCTGCCAAAGTTGTCGGTAGATGGCCATTTGATGAGTCGAATTCAAACGACTACAACTCGGAAACTGTTGGCCAGAGGAACCTTCAAATAACGTATTTGGAAAGCTAAGACAATCTATTTTAAATGAAGGGTCGAGATCCAAGCTGACTTTAAAGGTCAAAGGTCAAACGGCCATATAACTGGGAATTGCCGGATTTTTGAGAACAGTATTTCTACCGCCATTCGGACCACAGATCCACCACAGACAAAAGCATGCATGCGATTTTAGAGGACCTTTCGGTCGATCTGTACACCAAATCTCATGGGCTTGAATCACCTAAATCGCGTTTATATCTGCAAGGGTTCCTTCGGAAAGTTTATTCAAAGTTGTGCATTTTTTTAAGAAAAATCGCGCCCCACTGGCCCTTGACAATACCATCACCAGAATGCGTCGCCAGACACGCGTGGGTGAAAAATCACGCCAGATTTATTGATAGATCGATAGATATGAATCTTCGGAAGGAGTCTATGCAAAAATCACCATAATGTATTCCCGGACTCCCGCGAAATAAATTACGTTTCTGACAGGGATAAAAATCGCCCCCACTCGTCTCTGCAAACGTTTACGCGCTTGCCACAGAATGCAAGCCCTGGCTCCTCAAAAGCAAAAATCACAAATTCCTCTCTGATAGATCGATAGAAAAGACTCTCTGGATGGCAGTGAGACTTCGCTCGTCCCTTTTCGGTGGGTGGTTCGCTCATTCAAGTTCATTCAAACCAAAATGATATTTCGCCCCCATTCAACAAAAGGTGTCGAAAAACGTCCGAAATCGCATTTCAGACGTAACTCGTGAAATTTCCTCTGATAGATCGATAGATATGAGTGCCTGGAGTGCGTGGATGCATTCATCTTTGTGATCTATGCTCTGGCCCGAATGGCGGTGGTCGAAATACTGTTCTAAAAAATTCGGCAATTCCCAGTTATATGGCCGTTTGACCTTTGACCTTTGTCAGCTTGGATCTCGACCCTTCATTTAAAAGTAGATTGTCTTAGCTTTCCAAATACGTTATTTGAAGGTTCCTCTGGCCAACAGTTTCCGAGTTGAAGTCGTTTGAATTCGACTCATCAAATGGCCATCAAGCGGCAACTTTGGCAGCGACTTTCGGCCAAACTATGGGTCGGAGGTGACTGTGCGACCCCTCTTTGCACTTCCCTAGGGACCCCCTACAACAACTACTTTTCAGATTTCGAATCCTAGACGGTCGATTTTTCTTCCCCTACCACCTTAAACGGATGGTCTTCAAAATTTAATGAAATGTTGACGGTTATGTTTTTCAGTATTTATTGAAATTTCACATCTCTTATTTTCCATTCTTGAGTTGTGGCAGGTTCTGTTGAAATGAATAAAATGCCGAGTTAAAAGGATTGCTACTGTCATTGCTAGGCAAGAATCCACATTTGAAATTTACTTGAAAAATCCGTTCTCGAGTGATCATTGTGAACATTGTGAGCGTCTGGGGGAAGTCCGAACTGCTTCAATGATTGGTCTTGTTCTCGTCATAAATTGATCATTCTTCCCTTCTTGCTTCAGCTCTTCTCCCTTCTTTTCTGCCCTCAGCAGCACTTTATTGCATTTTTTATTCACTAACCCTCCAAATCACTGTTGAGAAAGAAAATCAAAACGGAGTGACTCACAAAAATTGCACAGCCAAAGGATATTGCATCGATGCAGTTTATTGGCCGGGTCCTATTGTGATGGATTGGAATCCTATATAGCTAAGAGGAACCAACGGCATTTGCCCGTGGAAGCAAAGACAGAGGCAATAAATGATGAAATCAATTTAACCCTCTCTTACATACGCCTACAAGTCATTACTCGAAACGAATATTTCTTTCTCGCACCAGGGGAAATCATAGGTGGATTTGACCAAAATTGGAAGTGGGAGCAAATGGGAAACACTCAGCATCTGTGCGTTTACTCTTCCTTCTTCATCTTCTGCTTCATCGGGTTTCTCATGGATATGGGTTGTACCTTTCTGCCGTATGTTGATCACGCCTTCATGATACTTGCCTTGACTGTGGAATGGCTCGTATTCTCCTACCATCTCCATGGCAAAACTCCACTCCAAGCTCTAGTAAGTAGTCTTGAATTATTGCAGTCGATGAGGCTTAGTTTAGGAATTCCAAGAAAGAACACCCCAATAATATTGGATTTTTCGATGCGGGGTATCTATCGCCTAAGCGATGTTTGTGTATCCACAAGCAATGTGAAAATGATTTGTAGTAAGTAACATCACACATTTTAAAATTCATCATAAAAAAGTAGACAAGGGTATCCGCTTCAGTAGGTCAATACGTTTTTCGCTTATGCACTTTGATAACTTTTTATTTTTTTAGTTACAGAACGTTTGGATTAATTCAAGAGAATAATTTCTGGTCATATTTGTAGGTTCACATTTTGCTCGGAAACGTGTTGAAAAGCAGTATAGTGCTGGCATTCCTGAACGCCTGGAAGAGGTCCCAGGTACTTCTTACCCTTGCACTCGTCTATTCGTTTCTCGTCCAAGGAACCTGGTTCTACCAAATCGGATTCATTGAGGATCCTCCTTGGAAGAGCACATGGAACGGGGAAAGTCACGATCACATGACCATCATTACTGTGATCTTCGTCGCCCACTTATTCCTCGATGCCATATTCATTCTGATTCTCAATGGTTTCATTGCGGCTTGGGTGCGTGGACGAGGACGTCTTAGATATTGCTCCGAGGTAAGTGCAACATTTCATAGAAGCCAAAAAAAAATCTCAACAGGACTGGAATGAGTTCAGTGAACTTTGTGAGCAACTCAACTGCTATATCAGTTTGCGATCTCACGTTTGTTCCCAAACGTGGATACCATCCAGCAAAGATTTTAAGTTTGTTTATTGGGAGAATTCTCTCCTGAAATGTGTCCAGAGGAAGGATAGCTAACATGATGCATTTCGTCTCGGAGAAAGAATCATGACAATTCATGTAAGAACCAAGTAAGCATCTTTCCTTACTATCTGATATGTAGGAACGCTTTGAAGGTGTTTAAAAAAAAGAAGAGAACTGAAAGAGAAAATTCATCACATTACAAGTTATCCGTCCAACAAGAGAAGTTGCTTGATATAAGCAGGGAGCAATCAAGGGAGCAAGCAGTCACGCCCGAGAAGGCTGCAGTGGAATGCATGGAATATCATTTTATGTGTATACCAGCATAGGTACCCGGTGCTGCACGGGCGAATATAGCATACGTCCCATCTTTGAGGATTTAATATTGTTTTAATGCCTCTTTGGCAAACCCGGCTAGAAATTGTTTAAAATATGTAACTTTTACAACACAACCAATCGCAAAATTCCAGTAGCAAGCTCCATGTTACAGCTTAAATTTTTTTAGTGAGCCCCCAAAATGTTGACTCACTGAAGAATACATTGTAGTGAATCAGCCAAATCTGCACTAAATAAGATTCCGTGGGGGTACGAATTTTGAAACGCCACCTGGCTTCTGACCATTCCCAGACCAAATGAGGAAGACATTCAAAGTTTGGTCGGACTTGGATCCGAAGCGTGGCCGTGCATGAAGCACAGACACACACACGAACACCGAAACAAGTAGTATAGATTTGCTTTTAATCCCGCCTTCAGCGCTAACACATGCTGAGGTGATAATACTCCAGGAGTTAAGGAGTTTTCATTGCGACGTCACGTTACCTCGGATAATGTCACATCACTGGTAACTTCAAATTGGTAACAATTTAATTGGTAATTAAAGGAGATTCATAGCTTCCTCTCAATATGCGTGTTATGCCTGATTCACGCAATTGGTCATTGCGCGCATTGAGCAAATATTTGCTGAATGCGTGCAAAAAACTGCATGTTCGTGTATTTCATGAAATCAGCAAAAATGTTGCCTATTACGCGCATTCCCCTTGCTTTTTCACGCAATAAGCAAGTAGAGTTTCAAGCAGGAAGTGTTTTGAAATCAACAACATATTCTCGTGTAGCCAGTCATTCATGCTTGTCCAGGTTTAAGGCCATCAAACACGACCCTTTTTCACGGAATATTGTCCTGTCTAGAACTGGACATTCCCATGCATCTCTTGCACTTTCCCATGCTTCAGCCGTCCGACACGTCGAATGAAAATCGTCGAATGTGCGTCTGAATCCGGCGCTTCATCTTCATCCGATGTTGCACGTTGAGGAGCCGATCAAAACATGCCACGTCATAGTGGAGTGGCAACTCACGATTGGCAACTCGCTTGTGAGTGTGGTGTTACATTAAGCAAGTACTCTCTAGCAAGGGATTCCCATTTACAGGCTTCGAACTGCCAGCCAACATCTTCTGAATTTCATGAATGGGGAATTTTCTTTGTTGCACAGATGTAGATGAAAATGAAATATGCAGATGATGGCTGTCCGCCGAACGTATAAGTTCTCCTCAGTCACGGTGGATCCAGTCGACATTGCGATAGCACGCCAGCTGTCAAAATGACACTTAAGAGGCCAAAGAGAGCAGAAAGGGATATCTTTGATTCAGTCCTAATTACTTTTCCGAAGATCCACGAGCAATTCACTACATAATTAATGTATCCCAACCACTTCAGTCATGAAGTGGCCATAACCAATCTCCTACAAGTTTCACATGGAATCCATACTCCCTCACCCTGCAAGATAACGAAGGGATCGAATGAACAATTCCAATGGTGGGAGCGGGTTTCAGTATCGTTTTCTACTTTGCTACCCTTGGAGTTACCTTCTCCAAGAATCTCTGAAAGGTGCCTTCGTTCATTCGAGGAAAGCCAGCGACGTGATTGGGGCTAGATTCTCTTTGGTCTGGCAGTAAACAATAGTGCGTCGCCAAAGTAGATCTTTTCGAGAGCAAGGGCATCGTCCAAACTAGTCCATTACGCTTCCATTCCTGATAATACCATGCCCCAGTGAAGGCAGCAGTGACCTTGGTGTTGAACGGCTACTGGTATGGACGCATCCCGAACTCTACCAGATGTTTCGCGCTCACCTTTTTAACTCCTGTCATGGGAGGAGTGGGGCTCCATCTTGCCTCGAGGTTGCCTTTTGATTGGTTCTTGCTAACGAGTACTTGCCTGAAGTTCGAAAATTTCTGATCTCGTGGAGAGTGCTAGCGAGTGAGGTGTCACACTAAGCGAGTGGCCCTAACGAGCACTCGCTATCGAGTACTCGCCTAGTGTAACAGGGCCTTTAGGAAATCTAGAGCCCCCAGAGGGGGTTAATCTCGAGATTAACCCCGTCATGAAATGCCTTCTCAGGCCTTTCCATAAGAGCTTTCAGATGACGACTCGAAAAATCATCTGACATTGATTTCTATCATCACTGTATGTCCGCCGCTTTCATCTGGGAATTGGTGCTGGCATCATTTATTGCCAGCTTTCCCCTATTTCTTTGTTATTTTCACCAAGAGGGGAAGAGAGAGAGAGAGAGGGAGGGCATTGACGAATAGGAATCACGCCCAAGGAACTCACGGGGAACATATGCCGAACACCATGAAAAAACTGCTACGATATGAAGGATACTCGAACAGATTTATGCAATTAATGATGCCAGGATTTTATTTTTTAAAGAAATATGTTACATATGCTTATGATTTGCCTCGACAGAACATGATACGTTCCCAAGATAACATGTCCAGAACATGTTATCTTGGGTTGGAACGCGTTGTCGAAGAAGTCTAAGCCTATAATTACTTATCTGGCAACGTTTGACACGAATCCACCAGGAGGCATGTGCCCGTTTGCAGGATTTAAAAAAGGACGCAAGTAAGATCACAACACTAGGGTTTATGATCGTTTTGCGTTGAATTTACAAGAGCCGCCTAGAATTCTCAGGTTATAGCACAGAAAAATGGTGAAAGTGAAAATTCTATTTATTCCAGGACGAGAAACAGATGCTGCCACGATATGAGAAGCTGGATGAGAAGACAGACGACTTCTCGGGGGAGAAATTCCATTGAAAGACAACAGATTCATCGAAACAATTTTGAAATAAAATACATAGAGACATTGTACAAGCATGAAGGGTGTGGGTATGAATAATATAATAAAAATCTTGAAGTGAGAATTAATTAGTCCATTTACAGATATAAAACCAGATCATGGTTTCCAAGCTCTGTGGATACTTACTTCAAAGGGTGAGCTCCTTGAGTGCTGGAATCAATGACACAACATGTCGTTGGCATGTCATCGTCTAAGAATCGGCATTGTGAGAAGTATTACGCGTCATTCATGGAAATCCATGTTATTCTGAACTATTTCGATTTGACAGTAAAAGGAAATGTTCGCTTGTAGAACGCAATCGATTCAATGTTCGCAACTCCGAGGAGATGGAGCTTCCAATTTGCTTGAGTGATTCTGTGTTGAGAGAGGAACCCCGGCAGCACAATACATTAGGCCCACATTAGCTGCGAGTAGGGAAAAGTGGCCTAACGTCGGAGTGGGCTGCTCGTGTTGGCCCCACATTGACGCTAGGGCGGCAGCTAATATTTATCATGACTCAGGATGCAACATCTATCTCAGTTATTTGAACAAAAAGCTTCCTACAGAATAAACGAGATTGGAGGTACAGTGTGACACAAAAGTCACTTGACAAATGAGAAAAAAAAGAAACCCTTTGCCTAAAATCTTTATTTCTGAACTAGCGGGGATGCTCAAAGTGTTCTCCGTGAATCACAATGCAGTGCTCCAAACGATTCTTTAATTCATTTCTGACGGCTGCTAGTGTTACTGGTGTGATTTGCTGAAGAACATGAGTGATGCGGTCCTTAAGGTCTTCGAGGGATGCAGGTTCCATCATGAACACATATTGTTCAACGTAGCCCCAAAGGAAGAAATCTGTGGGAATGAGGTCAGGTGATCGAGGGGACCATGACACAGGTCCACCCCGTCCAATCCACTGATTACCAAACAGGCTATTCAGTTTCTGACGGATCGTGAGAGCAAAGTGGGGAGTGGCACCGTCCAGTTGGAACCACATTTTGCGCCGTGCATTCTTGTAGGCCTCGCGCGTTGGATTAAGGTACTAAGGGAAGATGAAAATCGACCCCCCTAGAATCAAATTCTGGCTTATAATTATTGTAGAGGACCCCAAGGGAGGGCTTTGAAGCCACTTTTTGGCACTCTCAGGTCAAGCAC